GTAGAACGAAGCAATTCTAACAATCACATGTTCATTCCACAGAATGAAAAGCCCAGGTAGAATCATTAGAATCAAAATTTTGAATAAAAATCATTCAAAATTTTTACAAAATGTATGCTTCTCCATTCTCCCATGGAGACGCAAAAAGCTCCTTCATAGAATAAATAAAAGTTGACCGTAGTAAATGTAAATAATAAAAAATTCAAGTTAATAATTAAAATATAATAAAAAATATATTTAATCTTGATTTGACTGCAGGAATCCATACTCTGGTTGTTTCGGTAAAGTCACGTAGGTAGAAAAGAAAATAAATCACGACGTTTCGGCGCAACACAAGCGTCCATCATCAGGTGGGAAAGCATGCTTGAATTCTATTCAATTACTATTTATTTAAAGTTGCGCATTTTGATGTGACGTCACATTTCTCAAACCCCCCCTCCCCCGCTCGTCACACATCGTCACAAATGTCTGACCCCCCCTCCCCCCTAGGTGCGTGACGTCATTTATGGACAGCCCCTTACACGCACCCACAGATTACACTCTCACGGGTGCTGGCACAACTGACCCTCTCACCTGCACCGCGAGTCAGAGCGACGAGGCTCAGCACCGTAACGAGATGGTGGAGCATGGTTCCCGACAGCAAACAGAGCCCCACTCACGGACTATTCCCTTGCAGCTCACTGCCCCTTTCCTCGTCGCTTCCCCTTCTCCAATCACCGACAATCATCTCCCACTTCCTCCCACGCCCATTCTGCCATGCTGCGTCTCTCGACTTCCCTTTCTGGTTTCCTGTAGCTGAAATTAATAAATTCGCCAGTTTATATTATCATCCTACCTATAAACGTAATTTTTTTATCTGTCTGTCTGTGTGTGTGTGTGGACACACCTTGTGCCGCATTTAACTCACAAACTGCTAGCTTTACGTTTCAACAAACTACACACGACGCAATAAGCCCCCGACCAACAAATCGCAATTTCTTTTTCCCATCCGTCAAATGTAAAGTAGTTAAATTAGCAATTTTTTACAATTTATTATTATATTACTACACTGAGCGTGCGCCAAACCACGTATCTGCGCATGCGCGGAAGAGCTGACACGTGGGGGCAGAGAAAAATTATCATTTGCGTTAAAAACAGCCCAGCCCCAGCCGGCCAAGGCTCCACCTCGGCTGGCTGAGCAATCTAGACGAGGTCGGGGGCTCTGCACGCGACCGCACTCTGTGAAGTTAGTAGTTAGTACTATAGAGTCGATATATACTATTATTGAGTCAGTAGATGCGACTATAGAGTCGGTATATACTACTGTAGAGTAGGTAGAAATACTGTAGCGTTAATATATACTGCTATAGAGTCGATGGATACTATTGTATCGACATCGTGAATGTCACTGAGTAATGCCGGCTCTAGCGAGGCACGGCGTGCAATGCACCGTCATCGCGGACACCCCGTAGGTGGGTGTAGTACCAGCCCTAGAGGGGGCTCAGTGAGCGCTGTGATAGCGCTCAGTGGCACCACACGTAGCGTACAGTGCTAACTCCTACAGGAGGGAGTGTGAGAGTGTCAGCCATGGGATGAGGTTACCCTAGGCCATGCCACTCTGGTTGACCCTGGAAGGCACGTGACCAGTAAGATCTACACAGGGGCTCCACGTGGGGGCTGGGGTGGTCACGTGCCAGGGTGAGATCCTGCGAGATGGTTCGAGGTGGTCGTGACCAAAGGCGGGGCCAGCCACAGCCAGTGAGCATATAAACCGGGTCCCTTCAGCGTTGCTGTTGTCATCTGAAGATCTACGATCTATGTGGACGAGGACCTAAGCCAGGGTCCTGTCCGTTGTAGCTACTCCCAGTAACTAGCGTAGTTAGCCTGGTGGTCCACCACCATAGATTATCTGGTAAAGGGGCAGTATCCCCTTTGTGTTAATGTGTTGGTGTTAATAAATGTGTTGCCTCCAAAGAGTATGTCTGCGACTCAGTTGAATCCACTGCACTATTATAGAGTCAAGTAGATACTACTACAGTCAGTAGATACTACTACAGCCAGTATATACTACTGTAGTGATAGCAGATACTACTACATTCAGTGTACACTACTGTATTGATAGCAGATAATACAGTGAGCATATGCTACTGTAGTGACAGTAGCTACTAATACAGTCAGTATATAGTACTGTAGTCATAGTAGATGCTGCTATCGAGTCGGCAGATACTACTATAGAGCCAGTAGATAGTACCAGTTAATAGATACTACTACGGTCAGTAGTTACTACTGTATAGTTAGTAGTTACTACTGGAGAGTTAGTAATTACTATAGTCAGTGGATATTACTATAGTCAGGAGATACCTCTATAGTCAGCATATATTACTGCAGAGTCGGTAGATACGACTATAGAGTCAGTAGATACTGCTATAGTCAGCAGATACTGCTATAGAGTATGCAGATACTACTAAAGAGTCAACAGATACAACTATGGAGTTAGTAGTTACTACTATAGTCAGTAGATACTACTATAGTCAGTATATACTGCTGCAGAGTCGGTAGATACGACTATAGAGTCAGTAGATACTGCTATAGTCAGCAGATACTGCTATAGAGTCTGCAGATACTACTAAAAAGACAGCAGATACTACTATGGAGTTAGTAGTTACTACTAGAGTCAGTAGATACTATCAAGTCAATAGATACTACTATAGATTCAGTAGGTACTACTATAGTCATTAGATACTACTGCAGAGTCAGTAGTTACTATCTATAGAGTCGGTAGATACTGCCGTAGAGTAACTAGATACTACTATAGAGTCAGCAGATAATACTACAGTCAGTAAATTCCACTACAGTCAGTATATACTGTTGCAGAGTCAAAAGATACGACTATAGAGTAAGTAGATACTGCTTCAGTCAGCAGATACTACTATAAAGTCAGCAGATACTACTACTATTGAGTCAGTAGATACTGCTATAGAGTTAGTAGTTACTACTATAGTTAGTGGATACTACTGTAATGACAGCGTGACACCTGCTGGCTTGAAAAGGGAATCACGGGTACGGGCATGGTTAAGTAACAACCAATCAGAGAAGGAGCTGTATCTGGGCCAAAGGTAACAGGAATCTGCTCGAAGGTTTGATGAGAGGGTGTGCCCAGAAGCGGGGCCTAGTCACGCCTGGGGGTATATAAGGGGGAGCGGACCCAGGGCTCGGGGCTTGTGCATGGGGTCTGGGTCCTGGCTACCTCGCTGCTTGCCGTCATTTCTCTCCGTCGTCCGGCCACGTGGAAGATCTCCTGCGGGGTTTCCATCGCCGACATCGTCACGCTGCCAACCAGCGGCGTAGCCGAGCGTAGGCGATGGGACCATGCTGAGTGATCGGCTGTGTGTAGCCCGTAGAGACGTTAGTACCGAAGAGTATATATCCGTGTGAGGAAGGACAAGTGTTGGCCTGTGTTGTGCCCAGTGTGATTAATAAAGACAGTGCCCTCGTAATGACGTGTCGCGGAAGTCGCTCATTACATTGGAGTCAGAAGTGGTTGGAAACATAAATTTGTTCTAGACAGCTAGAAAGAAATATGTCTAAACATCAGAAAAAACGGTGAAAATGCGACCCAAGACCTCCTACCAGCCCCGGGAACTGTGGTCCCGGTTATTGAAGCCACGGCCATTTCAGTTGGCTGCGCCAGAGGCAGTGGATCCGGGAGCAGCCACTCCACGCCAGCAGCCCGAAGATGGCTGGAGGATGGTGTCGGCACAGCTGGACCTGTTGCGAGCGGTTGTCGTGCAGTTGGCAACGCTCATCGCAGAGACTACGGTGGCGGGGCGCTCTGCATTCACTTCGCCAGGAAGGAGCGACCAGAAGTCGGGAATTGACATTCTGCAGGAACGTCCGCAAGCGCGACGGCCGGAATTACACATGGCGTGGAGAACACGCAGCCGGAGGCCGCCATTATGGCCGGCATGGGGGAAGCGCGGACGGAGTCCGCCATTTTATAAAACAAGCATGATATGCAAGATGCGGCAATGACCGCTAGAAACGAGGAAAGAGGAACAAAACATACTCGCAGATTACCTCAGATTAAAGAATTTGTCGCCGCAGGAGGCGGTTGGAGCACCTTCCACCTTCCGACACGCACAGGAAGTTTCTTCAGCGTAGGCGAGGGGAGGCCGAGACGCCTATCGCAGCACACTGTTGGCGTTAGCGGGTGGCGTGAATCCGGAGGCCCTCGACTTGCTCGTCATGGAACGAATGTTGGGACTGGCTAGAGACATGGGGGTGGTCTTACCTGTGTGTGACGAAGACATTCAAATGTCCCAATGGGCCAACAGGTGTCTTCAGGCCCACGAAAATCCACACCGTTGGTCTCAGATGGCGGCGTGGACGGGGGACCCCAGTCGAGACGGGGAATCGAAGGGATGGTCGCCGAGCAAAGTTGTGGTGTTTCCGGCCGGCGATGCGTCTTCGGAGGAGGACGTTGTTGCTGCGGTTCCGCCATAGAGTCGGAGACGGGGGGATGCTGTGCGCCATCGATGGTGGAGACCGCGTCAACGCGAAGAATGGGTGGCGCAGGCGCCGCATGTGGCCTGTTCCTGCTGTTTCCAGCCAGGGCAATTCGTGAGGGAATGCCAGAATTGCCCTCCGATACCGACCGCTGTTCCGGCGCCCGCTGCCCCTCCGACAGCTCAACCTCAATCTGAACAGGCGAGTCGGTACACATCAGACACCCAGCCCATTTTGCAATCTCAGACATCTGATTACTCAGGATTCACTCGCTCTCAGCATAACACACATGTTGACACCGGGCAACATGATTTGGATGCGCATGGGTGGCCTAGCTTGAGGACACAGTAGAGGACATTGGCATGTCGCATGGTCGCGGCGGCTGCGGGTTCCTCGGCGGTATCTGGTTCATTGCAAGGTGTGGAGTAGTCAACCTCGCATTCAATACACTTTCAGAGCCAGGGTGAACATCCGACTCCGACATATTTAATGCATTGAACGAGGTAAAACTGATAGAAAAACACAGCACAAAACACAGCATCTGTTAATACTTGGAATATCAATACAATGACCACTGCAGCATCGTAACATTGTCTTAGATAACATGAAACTCCACAATAGGTCCTGGGGGGACCAGGCACCTACATTAGCACTGAATAGCTATACAAGAGAATAAGCTACTGTGTTGAATAAGGTCACTTCATGTAATCACCATACTGCAGCCTTAATGTATGGCACTGCACATCACACTGAACTGTGGATGAGATACTTCTTCATCCTTGCTCTCAAGATCGCAATATGGTTACATGGGTACAAGTCTGACTCGACTTATTCAATTACAAGTAACATTCACAATAAGGCAAGTGGCAGGCTTCATCGTTAACTAGGCCTCATATTTATCATAACAATTTAACAGCATTATAAAGGCATTTACAGCATTATAACGGCCATTCTAACATTATAACAGCATTTCCAGTATTATAAGAACATAAACGAACTTACAGACAATGCTTTTTAAAGCCCCACAATGAACAGTTGCACCTGTCTTCACTGGGACGCTATTTGTGCCACCATTTTGTACTCTTTGTAATGGCTGATGCCCTGCCGCGTGGCTGAGAGGATGTAAAATCGTAACTTCCTGGTCACGTGACCAAACCCAACATCCAAACAGGAAATTCCTGTGTACACACACCCCCACACCTGCCGTGAGGCAGAACAGGAGTCTCCCGTGGGAGACTGGTTTTACAACTTGGTTACTGTCAACCGAATTTTTCTCATCTTAAATTCTGGTGTCATCAGTTTTCAAATAACACCCCTCGTGTGTAATAATGGAAGCAACCACGCGAGTTTCGCAAAATCAGCCTTGAGCCCACAGTGCATGCATCTGAGTTGCGACAGCCAAGGGGAGGGGGGTACGGCAAGGAAGACGCGTCTGGTTTTGTGTGCGAGGGTCATCGGGCAGTGCTAACCACTGCACCATAATTCCTACTGACTTTGACAGATGCAGTCTTATTGGATTTACAAAAAACATTGCCTCGATTACCCAACAATTACACTAATCGGTTGAGCTAATATCTCACAGGAATTAAAATGTACTTTAGCCTTCCACAGACCACAAGTTCAAAATAGATTAATGTGTGGCCATTAGAGGTAAGTCGTTCAAACTATTTGCTCATGGAGTTGAGAAAATGTAGCCGTCCCAAACCGGCAGCAGTGAAATGCAGACAGCTTGTTGGCCAGTTTCATTCTTATTAGGAGTCATAAGTAGAGTGGAGTCATCAGAACTGCTGCCATATACCCCTCCAGGAGCCATATACATTCACAACACTTAGCTTTACATTTACATTCAGCTGGCTCATGCACAAAATCACCCACGCTCCATTGTGTCAACTTCTTACCTGTGGTTTATGGCTGAAATTTCAAAACTCACTTGGTTCCTTATTTTGGAGAATATGTATGTACTTGGAAACGAAATACCAGAGTATAATGAGTCACCGACTCACGCTCACCCGACCTACGAACATCCGCACTTATAAACCTGCTTCCACGAGATATTTTTTTAACGTGACTTGCAAACGCGAATTCGCACCTCGCGAACTGAACCGAGGAACTATTTAGTTCAGCGGAGAGATCCTCCGCGAGATATGAGTTACAGCCTGTCGCTGGGAGTGAGTGTTTGTGTGTGTGCGCGCGCTCCCACGTGTGTATGTGTGAAAGTGTGTGTAAAAGTGAGTGTGCATGTGTGCATGCACGCGCGCGTGTGTGTGTAGGTGTGAGCGCATGCCACCATGTGTGTGTAGTGCAAACAAGGTCCGCGATCCCTGCTGAGTGACCAGGGCAGGGTTGGAAAATGTATTACTGGAAAGGAAAGGAAAAAATTAACCTGTAAAATCAAAGTTTTTCACTATAAATCCTTTATATGCGTGGCATCAGTTTTATTTTTCAATTCACATAACACTGGCCTAAAATACGACGACGAAACTGAAAATTGAAGTTTGTTTACACTATGAATACGCAAGAAAAACTAAAACTCACTAAAACTCTTCAAGAATGTCTTGTCAATCCAGCATTCTGATGTTACGATGTCCTCTTAAGTTTAACAGATAATTATTACTATGCAGATAGAGTCACATTTTTAATTCGACACCATTTTTTCACTTTTTTTCACTTTTTGTACTTCACTACAAACTAAAAAAAAATTCCTAAAAAGTGGAAAATTTTGGAAACAAATTTTCACGAAAGTAAATTGTCACGCACAACGAGTCTGTGTGCAAAATGTCAGCTCGATTGGATCACGGGAAGTGGGTTAAAAAACGACCGAAAGATTTGCACGGTCGTAAGCGCGCAAGCAAGCAAGCAAGTGACCTTAATATAAAGGATTTAAAAAGGACACTGATCAGTGTAACATGTAGGCTTTCGCTATCAATATTATTCATAAGAAAGGTTTTTGGGTTAGATCGCGTAAGTATAAATGTGTCATAACCCTCCACCACCCGACACAGCCAGTAAGATTTGTCACGTAAACAACGCGCCAATTAGTTAATACTTCAGCCCACCGGTGTGTTGAAGAGTAAATCCACAACATTTACAGTTTGAATATGACGCTTTGCTGGTAATTACATCCATCATCATCGGGCAAGTTGCCAGAATAGTGAAGCAATCCACCTGCTTCGGTCTTAAATAACGTAATCATTTTGTGTTATGGTTGGTAGGTTGGATGCTGCGAGTGAAGAGGTGGTGAAAACTGTGAGAGCAGATGAGGTCAAACTCAGACGATGCAGTGGCTGGAGAAGTTAAGGTTCGCTAAAGGAACATTCGAGTAGACCAGGGGTCGGGAACCTTTTTGACTGGGAGAGCCATAAACGCAATATATTTATTAATATATTTCATTGACAGCCATATAGTATTTTTAACGTATAATAAATTAAATATGTCTTACTTTTAATGTGACTTCTGGTCACGGGATCCGTGACCCGAGACATTTTATCTTCAAAACTAATTTCTGTTTACTTTAAAATGACACAGTATTATTAAGCAATATCACAAGTATTTTAAAATCAGTTCCAAACTGATTTTTTTTATTTTTTTTATTTATTATTTTTTTCAACTCAAAATTGTCTGGGAGCCATATGCCGTCACCGGAAGAGCCGTATATGGCTCGCGAGCCATAGGTTCCCGACCGCTGGAGTAGACCATACTGGTGCGCTAAGGCTCCGTGCATTCTCTGGGAACCCGAGTGAAACGGTTAGTGGTCACTTCGCCTTGGATACATCGAGTCTGGGTATGCACACGGGTCAAGCGTAAATACCAGGGCCACTAGGAGACCCCGAGAGAGCAAGAGGAAGCGAGACGTAACGGCCGTGACATGATAAGAGGGATTCCTCTGGAGTTCCAGGCCCTCTCGTGACGCACGGGACCTGTGATGGCATGCAGTCTCAGGACAGGGTGGTTGTCTGCTGTTCAATGCGCCCCCCATCCTGTCTCCCCATCTCGTCCTTCACTGCACCATCGAGGGGGGAGAGGAGTGAGAGGAAACAAAAGGGGTGAGTGGAATGCTATCCAGTTCAAGGGTTTTAACTGACAAAATACGATTTAAAATTTAGAATCAGCATCTTAACTGAATACAATTACACTGGCATGAAAATCATGATTCTATATTATTTCTTTCACTTCAGCCAAACATCACATGTACACTTTGGTACTATAAGTGTCCATCTACAGTGAGGGAAAAAAGTAATTGATCCCCTGCTGATTTTGTACGTTTGCTCACTGACAAAGAAATGATCAGTCTATAATTTTAATGGTAGGTTTATTTGAACAGTGAGAGACAGAATAACGACAACAAAATCCAGAAAAACGCATGTAAAAAATGTTATAAATTGATTTGCATTTTAATGAGGGAAATAAGTATTTGACCCCCTCTCAATCAGAAAGATTTCTGGCTCCCAGGTAGTGGGCAAACGTACAAAATCAGCAGGGGATCAAATACTTTTTTCCCTCACTGTATAGGAGCGCACAGAAGTAAATTACAGCATTCACGTTGTGGTCGTGAGGAGGTGCAATATAAAATGAAAACCAGCATGGTCGCTAAAACTGTTCCGAGTTACAACCATATCATCATATATGGACGGTGCACGTGAACATTGCGTTTTGCATTGTAAGTGTTCATACAGACAATTGTCATCAGGTCGATATTTGTGTTCAGAAGATGTTTTTTACAGAGACTATCTTACCGTCTTTGCATGAAGACATGCCAACGGTAGTACCCCAGTGTGTTAATTAGATGTATAAAGATTCGTTATCACGTTCGTCATAAATTACTCTTTTTTTCGGTTCACGCCTCCTTTAATTATTAATATTTTTATATTAATCATATTTTATTCGTGGAAAAATGATGAATGCCTTTCGTAAATGCACGTTATGTCGTTTGTCCGTGCGTGCATTTCATACGATTCCAGGCCGTTTTCATGGCCGTCATGTTCCTTAGCCTCCCCACGCTTTGCTTACAAGTTGTGTCATTCACACTACTGTACGTTCCGCCACGCTTTGGACTATGCATTACTTCTGCCCGTCCCACACTCTCCCAGTCACCCCTCAACACCTCAGTGTCTACAAAGTCCTCGCTTAACACGGTTCTGCTATTAGAGAACACCTCACACAACGTGGAACGCGCCCTTATAACGCTGAAAACGCTCCGTTATAACGCAATTTCTGAGCGGTCGACAAACTAGTTTCTTGAGCTTACAGACTGAGCGGTAGGATACAGTACGTATGATACCGCACACGGCAGCGCAACACTTCCCAGTTCGTTGTCCCGCCATGGGGTGACTGCAGGCTGATCTTAGTCCAAACGTGATTCAATAACTCAGTATTTCCTCGCTTAATACGGTTTTCGTTTAATGCGGCACTGCAATAATGTATATCTCGCGTTAAATGAGGGATTACTGTAGAGTATTTGTTTCTAATTACCTGTCTAGTTATCCATATTTATGCGAAAACACATATCCTAGGTGTGTTAAAAAGTGTTATTTATGTAGGTTTTGGGTCAGAAAATTTTTTTTTTGGAATGTATCTTAGGTTATATAATGGGACAAATGTGGAACAGTTGCAAGATCTGCCTGATGGAGAGTGATGGTGAGGTGTTGTGTATAGGCCGACCGAAATTCAGTTTCGGTTTCGGCGCCAAAAGTTGGCAAATGACCTTTTTCGGCATACTTTCGGTTTCTGCCAAAAGTAAATGTTTTTTACTTTCGGTCTGGTTTCGGCTGATATTGAATTTCGATCGTCATTCGTCAACCGAAGATATATTTTTAGAACATAACGCCAGTGCCACGACTATCACTCTGCCTATCGGCCGGTCAGTCGGCGCTAGGCAATCCTATGCGATAGGCTGCCAACACACATACATCAGCAGCAGCAGCTTGGGAGCGAGGTTACAACATTCGTTTGTTTGGATATAATTACTAAGTAAGTAAACCTAAACATTTTATATTTAGCGACTCTTACTGATTAGTTATAGATTTATTTTAAATTAAAGTAGCATTGCATCATGACATATTTAATAAATCTTGTGTTCGGTAACTTAGGTTTCGGTCTTGGTCGAAAGTTTAGTTAAACTTTCGGTTTCGGCTTCGGTTTCGGCCGAAACCATAAATTCAGTTTCGGTCGGCCTCTAGTGTTGTGCCATCAATACCATTATATGGGATGTTGGCTATCAACAACAAGGCAACTCCTATGAATAATTGGGAATGGGACGCAAGCGTAGGATTGATCACCCTGTCGCTGGCCGCCTTTGGGGAGGGTGTATAATGTGAAAGGCCGAAACACCCTAGGAACCAAAGGTTCACTACTGAGGATGCGCTCCCCAAATTTCACCAGGCTCACTGTTCATGAACTCTTGGAAGTGCTTGCACAAGGGATAGTAACATCTCATCCTGTGTTCTTGGAATTGTAGGGCTGTTACAGAGGGGCTGTTTGTGTAGGGCTGTTTGCATAGGAGCTATCTAGCCTCGATGATCTCTTAACGGAAATAGAGAGCTGACCGGAACAATGCTGGCCCAATGTCTTATTCACAGCTGTGATTATGAACCCACCTGCCACTGTTTTCCTTCTCATGATGGCCATCGCCACGATCACAGCAAGAAATATGAACCCAGCCACAATGATCCCGGCCAGCAGGAGTCCATGATACTTGCAGTGTGATGATCTGCCGAGTTCTGCGGTCGTGGCTCAATGAAAAAACAACCATACGTGTATTCATATTTTTCACGTGTTTCACCCAACCTGTGCTGACAAATACAGATCAATGCTTACAGAGAGGAGCTATGAGCTCGGTAAACAATGAAACGGTTTGCTTTCATTCACATTAATCGGCAAACCTAACCCAGCTGCAGGCTCCAACATGAAGCTTCGAGTGTAAGGGTTGCCCAGATGTATACTTAAAAGGACAATACCTGTTGTGAAGACAGTGGTGACATCTGGAGTCTCTGTATGATCAGTCTCTGTACCACACGATGTCTCCTGCCGTGCGGGTGTCGTTGTATGTGTAGGTGTGTGTGTAGGTGTGTTTGTGTTGATATAAAATAAATGTTGAAATAAAACACACCAGAAGCTAACAAAGAGAACATTGCCATTACAACACAATCGTCTTGTAGAGAGATAAATTTTGCCATAGGCACGTGGAATTTCGAAAATTTTTCAACAGCCTACGCATTTGAGCACTGATCAACACTGGCTTTGGATGCAATATAAGCTTACAATGACAATAGCTTTCCAAAGATAGCAGTAATATTGAACCCATCTGATAAAAGTCATTGTTACATGATAATCAGTTGTTTCTGGGACGTTTCGTGACACGAAATCCAGCAAAAGCAGCCTAAGCTGCCTATCATTACTCGTCATACGAATGCACGGCTGATTGTGAGTTAACGAATGAACGAGTGATACAAATTTTAAAGACGCCCAAGAAGAGCTAAATAGCTGAACGTGGAGTCTAAGCTTATAAATAATCAGAACATTTAGAAAGCACAATGTTTACGTTTGCACCTGGAAGTTCGAAATATCAGAATTCGCCAAGGAAAGTATGACTCAAAGAGCTACAGAGCTGTGATTTGGCAGAAGCAGAGTCGATTCTGTCCTTGTACCCAATCAAACCTGAACACCATTTGTAATTTTGGACTCCCCCTCAAAATCCAGGGTCTATCTTATTATTTGTCCATGGATCGAAAAATAGTGCATTGGAGTTTTGAAGGGAGCCGCCAAAGGCCTCTAACTCTGAACAGTTATCACTCCGACGACTACTCAAAGCACACATGCGGGAGAAGTTGGAGTTCTGTTGTCACCCGCTCACCGGCAGTCAGTCGCCTCCTTATCACTCTTAGGGGCCGTCCATAAATGACGTCACGCGAGTTTGGACGATTTTTGCCCCCCCCTCCCCCCCTCGTCACGCGGCGTCACAAAAAGTCAGACCCCCGCTCAAATATGACGTCACAAAGCTCTTCCACCCCCCCCCCCCAAACCATATTTCCATTTTGAAAATAAAACATGCTTTAAATCGCTTTAAACTATTGTCATTGTAGTGCATATTTAATGTGCCGCTGCACTCTGATGTTGTAGGAGTGTTGTTATAACAATTCGTTTTGTAATAACAATTCTATATTTATTTAAAGTTGCGCATTTTTACGTGACGTCACATTTCTCAACCCCACCCCTCCTCGTCACACATCGTCACAAATGTCTGACCCCCCACCCCCCCCCCCGGTGCGTGACGTCATTTATGGACGGCCCCATACGTCACTACTGTCATAATTACGGTTCCCGTAATTTTCACTAATTGACTCCTCTACCCATGTTGAGGAATCAGAATTTTACTTTACACTGGAGGAATCCGATGAGCTATGAAGCTCATTTTCACACGTCCAGTAAGTAGGTCTACCAGACTCTTTCATATCATCCATCACATCCACGCTGCGTTCAACCATCACCAGACTGCACCACGCGTCTCCCTCTGCTCTTGGCCACACACTGCTCCACTTTGGAATTCTGTCCTTCCATCATCGCCTCTCTTCTCAGGCTCTCACAATAACAATAACCTTGTTCAATTCAAGAAACGTGCTACGCTCGTACGTTACAATGTTGGCAGTGCTGATTGTTGCTGGCCACTCGACTTTTTCAACCTTTGGGCCCTGTGCTCAGGAACCGTGTGTAAATGACTAAACCTGGCACCCACATGTGACTCGAGTGTCACCTTGCAGGCAACTATAAAACATATTAATTTACAAGTGCGATATCACGTAAAATCGCTTTATGCAAATGAGCTGGTGACGTCACGGCTAACACGGAAAATGCCTTTGAAATGAATGCGATGCCCATGGTGCAACAGCAATGGTGATGTTACCCACAGCTCGCCGATTTCGTTACCTCCTTGGGAAAAAGCGTTTTCTTTTGGCCGTTTATCCAGCACTCGCACACAAACATGGTCGTGCATCCACTGCTCCGCTCCTTGATCACAAGTTGTTTGAAACTCCAACCAGAGAAAGAATGTGACCCATCGTTGCCAACTATAATTTTCTTGATTCTCCCAAGAGGATGCAGCTTCACGAGAAACTCGTCAACCTAGGAGGAAAGCATTCGTATTCAATTCAAAATCAAGTCCAACAAAGAACTCAGCTGGTGCAAAATCTGACTGCGACTTCCGGCCTTGAGGAGGCCTTCAGGCGTGAGGAGGCCCGTAGCACGCGTTAAGCGGTACTGATGTTCACCCTCATTCGGGCTCATGAGTGCAGGGAATCATAACGGTGAACGAGGAGGTAATACGTGTACTTGGCTTAATAACTTTTAACATGGGAAAACAATCGTTTAACGAATTTCTGCTTACCGAGTAAATTTTCGCGGAACGTATCTCACTCGTTAAGCGAGACCTGCCTGTACTTGGCTTCACAGCACAGGCATGCATATTGCTGTTCATAGTCTGCTATGTCCACTCTGGGGTGCCTCCTTTCCTTCAACTTGATCAGTCTACCATCAGGAGTTTCTCTCGATATGCGCTGTGTTTTGCATTATTCTGGCTGTTGCCTGATGAGGCTGGTTGTTGTACTTACCAGCGAAACGTCGTACTCGATTGTGTATTTTGTGGTTTTACTCTCCAACACACCGGTGTGCTGAGCTAGTAACGAATTGGAATGTTTTGTTGCCATGACAAAGTTTAATAATTTGCTGTCTCGGATTGTGGCAGGTTTAACGACGCATTTATATATTTACACGATCTAACCCAAAAAACCTCTATTATGGATGATATTGGTCGTGAAAGCCTACTACGCGCTATGGCAGAGGGTAGACCGCATTAGCGAGGAGTTAGCGTCAGCGGCTCCGGCCGTGATTGACAGGAAAAGTAAATGGGCTGGGAGAGAAGGCGTCGCTCGAAGGACCGAAGGAGTTGTGGACGAGACTGGGCATCGAATGGCAGCCAAGGGAGGAAACGACCTCCACCGCGGAGATGTTTCCTGTTATTGTTTATTTAAATATTTAACCTGGAAAATCCCTCCAGGGGGGCATCTCACTGCCAAAGGAGTACTCGCACGAATACGCACATGTCATGTTAATTGCGTTATTTTCACTACAATGTTAGGAATGTGATTTATATTGTTCAATATTTATATAATATGTTAATTATGTTGCAGTTACTCTGTATTTCTGTATTAGGATGCTGTTATTATCGTTATGATTGTGACTGCAACCCAGCACACTCGTTACGGGGACCTGCAAGGTGGTTGCACAAAACCAGTTAATGTTGAGCTCCTGATTGCAGCTGTCTCTGCCTCATTCTCTGGTTAAGACGTCACTTGACTTGCACATGCAAGTCCATTCCGTGTGAGTAATTGCACTTAAATTCGTTTCGATCAAATCTCACACTCTGAAAAAAGTAAAATAATTTGAAATCACGAACCTGGCCATTTTCAAACGCATCCTGGTATCTTGTTGAATGGCTGAGTATGATATTTTCTGCGACATAGTCCCCATAGATCCAAATGCTTACATTGGCGTCTGTCCCGGCTCCAGTCTCAGTTCCCGTGTAAACAGTCACATTGTAGTTCCAGTCTCCCGACCCTGCGACGAAATCATGCACACAGATTACACTCGGCGCGCACTTTCCCGCACACCCGATTAGCACGGTTGGCTAGGTACGGCGCGAAAGAAGTTCAACATACACACGTACAGACTGAACGAGGCGCCACGGCGCCTGTACGGGTCCACCGAGCGCCGCGCTCGCACTCGCTGCGCTGGCTGCGTCCTCCCTCGGCTGTGTACGCAGCCCTCGACTTACGAACCAGTCGACTTACGAACCGGACACAGGAACTAATAGTGGTCGTAAATGGATGGTCAGTGCAGGCAATAAATCCCAGGATGGACCAGTGCTGTTCGTGAGCACTCATTACGTCCTCCACGGCCCTTCCGCCTTTGTCTACCTACTTCAGGTACTCGTTTGAAGGCTGAGTCGACCTAGAGGAGGCCCAGGACCGGATCAGATATTCGTCATCGATGCCAGATCCACCTCAGGTCGGCGAGTTTGTAAAGCAGTGCGCTAGCCACTGCGCCACCACACACACGGATTACACATGCACACCGATTAATTACACACACGGGGTTGCTGGCACACCTGCCTCTCACCTGTACCGCGAGCCAGAGCCACGAGGCCCAGCACCGTAACAAGATGACAGACCATGGCTCCCGACAGCAAACAGAGCCCCTCACGGACTATTCCCTTGCAGCTCACTGCCCCTTCCCCAGTCGCTGCCCCTTCTCCAGTCAATGCGGATCATCTCCCACTTCCTCCCACGCCCACTCTGCCATGCTGCGTCTCTCTACTTCTCTGTCTAGTTTCCTGCATCTCATATGTAGAAATCCGCCAGCATATTTCATTATTATAATTGTACTTGTTTGACCCGTAGATTGATCACCCGGTCTTGGACCCAGCAATGGATTGATCACACGGTCAATGACCCAGCAGCGGATTGATTTTGCGGGCCTTGACCCAGTGGTGGATTGATCACACGGTCTGGACGTGTATCTCACACAAATGTTCAGGATACTCTATCGTGCTATCAAATCATCAAACTCTCACCATCTTACTCGTACTACGATACTGTATTAGAAAACACAGGAGGGAGGTGAGGGAGGGAGATAGAGGAGGTAGGTGAGAGTTGAAATTAGAGAAGGGAGGAAGAGACGGAGGAGGAGAGGGGCAGGTAGAGTGAAAGGAAAGAAAGAGCGCAAAACAAAGAGGACAGCGAGGGTAACGCTACAAACAGTGGGAGAGAGCAAATCAGGGAGAGCCAAAGAGAGATTTATCAAACTATTTTTACTTTACCAGGTAAGAAGCGACCTGGCCACAAATGTTAGCTCAACACAGCGGCTTATCATGCGGAAAGTTATTGCAGCCAAATACTCTAAACACATGTTTCTAATTGTGGAGGGAAAAACCAGAGGACCCGGAGAAAATTCCATGCGACCACGTGGCAGAACATGCAAATTCCAAATATACAAGCGTTGGGATCGAACCCACGACCTCCTTCATACCAGGCGAGGGAGATGACATCTCCTAGCCACCGTGGCGCCAGGTTGAGCCGAGAAAGGAAGAGATGGGAATGTAGAGAGCGAGAGGAAACGGTCAGAGAGATTGGAGGGTGGCAGTGGGTGAGATACAGTGGAGGGAGGAGAGGGGAATTGGGATACAGAAACCGATAAAGCGAGACGTGGATAAACAGTACATTTGTAATGTGAGGATATATCCGGGTTGCTGATGGATCACACCTCGTTACGATGATTGGCTCTACCGGTCCTGGCCCATAGCCAATGGGGGTAAGTCTAGGGGCGTGGCCCTGACGTAATGGGGAGGTGACATCTGTAAGTAGAGGATTGGATCTGCTGGCTTTAGCCACAGCCAATGGGGGGACGAGTCAGGGGCGCGGTCCTGGGAACGTACGATGGAGTCTAGAAGATTCCATAGAGGTTAACCAGGATTGGTGGAAAGGTACCACGTGACCCGGGTATTAAAAGGGGTGGAGACGAACAACACGTGGTCCGATCTGGAACGAACGGAGGGTGAGTCCACGCTGGAGCGGGGTCCAGGCTGCCACGTGGTCCAGGCTGCCACGTGGTCCAGGCTGCCACGTGGTCCAGGCTGCCACGTGGTCCAGGCTGCCACGTGGCCGCGCGTGTCTCTCTCTCCCTCTCACGCTGTCTGTCAGCAGCGTGAAGGAGTAAGATAGGAGTGTTGTGAACGAAAGACAAATAAAGACCGGATTCCAGAAGTCGCTTCCACGACCTTTATTACACATTGCTATATACAGCACAGAGAAGGCGAGATAAATATGGAGGAGACAGGACTCTTATGTGAGAATAAAAGTTTGCTGGTTGCAAGGGACGGACGGTCACATCCAAATGACGTCGGGCTGCTAGTTTTACAATACAAACCCCCTCGTATGTATGTGTGTTTAGGGTTCGTGGCGATCAAGAGAAGTGGGAACTTTCAGAGTGAGAAAGGGGTGAGTGTGGGGGTGGGAAGAGAGTGAGGATTGTGTGAGAGTGAGGGATGGGTGAGAGGGTTGGGTGACGGCTGACTGAGGTTCAGACTTGGGTGAGAGTGTGAGCGTTGAGTGAGGGTTGGGTGAGAGTGCGGGAGTTGGGTGGGTGAGCGGGAGCCTTTGATATTGAAGTCTAGGGGAAGATTTAACATTGAAGTCTATGGGGGTCTTTAACATTGACGTCAATGAGAGTATTTAACATTGAAGTCTATGGGAGGATTTAACATTGACAGCTATGGTGGCCTTTAACATTGAAGTCTATGGGAGGATTTAATATTGAAGTCTAAGGGAGCCTTTTAAAATACTGTACTAGCAGGTGTACCCGTTCTTCGCACGGAAATTACGGTAATAATTTAGTCCTAGTCTTAAGTTTTTCAATGAACGAATATAGATGATTCCCCCCCCCCCCCCCCGCATTTGTGCGGAATACACGTCCTACGGGGAGGGTGGGGTGGGGGGATGCGTGACGTCAGCAGGCACACTGTGTCACGCTGCCGCATGCGGGTGACATCACAGATGTGACGTCACCGTCACATCTGTGATGTCACCTTCTAACGCAATTCTGTTCACATGCGGAATACCTCAGGGTTCAGTCATGGGCCCTCTGCTGTTTTCCGCCTATTCATCTCCAATTGGCCGACTAACCAACAGCTTCGACATCTCCGACCACTCCTATGCCGACGACTCGTCTCATCGCCTACATTAAATCTCCCAGCAACTCAGGTATCGACCGCATTACAGCACTGGTTTCAGGATCACGACCTCCCTAAACCCAACTAACTCCGAGGCCATCTTAATTGGCACTCGGCAAAGACTGCTTTCATTGCCACTCCCCTCAGGAATCTCAACCGCTGATTCCTTCGTTCCGCTCTCTGACCATCTGACATTTCTCGGCGTCACTCTGGATCCCAATCTCTTCTTCGACACCACCTCAGGGCCCTCCGCCATCTATGTCTGCTCATCACCTCCAACATCGCAAATACTCTCACCTGCAGCATCACTGGGTCGTGGCTCGACTATTGTAACTCAGTCCTCGTCTGGTCCTCTCCAAGCAATCAAATTAAGCTGCAATGCCGCCAAATCCACATTGCCCAAGTTGTTCACAGCCCCCACAACCCTCGCCCTGACTCCCTGTCCATCCTTCGTGCCCTTCATTGGCTGCCCATTTCGACCAGAATTACCTTCAAGATTGCTTGCCTCTGCTATCGCGCCATAAAATCCGGCCACCCACCGTATACACGTTCACTACTGAAGCCTTACACTTCAATTAATCGCAGACACCTTCGCAGTGCATCGCAAAACCTCCTTGGAGCTTCTAGGACAAGGACTGTAGATGCTTCTCATCGTTTTTCCGTGGCAGCCCCGTCATCTGGAACGACATCCCTATTCACATCCGTAATGAGCAATCATTTGCTTAGTTCAAAAATCATCCATAGGCGCATCTCTTCAGCTCGACATTTAACCGAGTTTCCCTGAAACTGCGCAACGCGATCTGACACTGAGCTCAGCTCCGCGCCTCAGAATTGCGTCTTGGGTCCGCAACATTGTACACGTTATACATTGTATTAGTATTCCACTTGTGCATTATTACATCTTTGCAGAGGATCCCTTGTCGGTCCAGTTGCATATTTTGTTAAATACATTTACAGTGCTCAAGGCATTTTGAAGTATCGCCATCGTGGCTCTGGAAGGAAGACCATTATCCGAATTTCATTTTGGAATATCGCCACGTTTTTTTCGAATTCTGCCAAGAAGAAAACTTTTCTTGAATGGTGCAAAATTTGCACAATTTTTTGGCCCATGATTTGAAAAAAATAAAATTACCAGCAGAGGGCGGCCAAGTCATATCTAAATGTACAAAACCTATAAACGTCGTAGAACGCGACCCATATCGTTGGGTTCGTCTTAAAACGGCGAAAAATGTTTATCTGGCAAACGTATGTCTGACTTTTTGCTCTAGAAATACAAGAGTGAAAAATGAAGAACGAAAAATTTACCATTTGACAGTTTTTTTTCTTCCAAAAATTCAAAATATCGCACATTTAATGCTTTTCTGGGCCAATTTTGCAAATCGGCAACCTATCGTGGTTTTCCCAAAATGATCAGAATCAGAATATTTACACTGCAGTTGTACCACGTGTGGCTGACGGGATGAGTAGAACCACTCGCAGCGTTTATGTTGAGAGACGGGGCGATGTTGGAGGCTGTCGTTCTGCGCGGTTATTGTTCCTTGCAATCCAGCAGCTGTAGTTGTGCATTTGTCCACAAGAGGGCATCACGTGACCAGTGTAGAACCTACAGCCCGAACTCGAATAACTCTAACCCCAAACCCTAATTACCCTAAACCCGAACCCAAATAACGCCTAACCTTAATAACCCTAAACCCTTACTATAATAACCCTACCGTAACCCCTAACCCTTACCAGAGTTACAGGAGTACAAATTCCATTTCGGGAGTTCCAATTCCTTGGCAGAATTAGGACTGCCAGATGTGGAATTTAGGCTTCTGGAAGTGGAATTGGGACACTTTAGGTTTGCCAGTGAGATGCCACAAAAAGCCACGTGTCACATAAAAAAATCTTTCTCGACGAGACAATTGAAAACCGTGTCCACAGATTCCCCCCCCCCCCCCCCGTTAATTACATCTTTCATCCAATTCACAAGCCCCCCCCCCCGCCCCCAACTGTAGGGGTCGCGACCCGCCAGGCAGTATCCCCTTCCCGTCCGTGCCTGAGGTTGGCGCCGGGAGCCCCTGCGAGACACTGCCCGTGACTGCCTCGGGATAGGCACGTAATTTGTGAAATTAACGTGCGCACTTGCGCAAGTGTGTGGTGTATGTGCAACGTGTATTTATACTACCGAATATAATTGGGTATAAATCTCTAAGCGACAGGACTCGTTTATGGAAACACTAATGAGATGATTGCACAAACGCGACTTTTAAAAAAAGGAACTAGCCCAACATCCCAATGTGGCAGGGCCCTCTCGACAAAAAAAGAGAGTCTTGAGACGAAGTGAGTCTTTCCTTGGATACGTAGATTATATTATCGCTCGCGCAACATTAGATTGGTGCTAAAGTGAGTGCAGTGGTCAGCGTACTGGACTTACTAGAGGTCACTGATTCGATCCGAAGCTCATGGCGCGGCGGTTGAAACAATGCTCCAAGTTCCTTAAATATCCGCACCTCTTCAAACG